GCAGTACTTGATGCAGTACTTGATGCAGTACTTGATGCAGTACTCGTTCTGTTGTTATTTTTATTTCCAGTTCAGTTTGTATCGATTTTCTAAATGTATTTTCCAAATGTTCAGACGCAGCTCCAAGAAAAACTCACAGATTCAATTTAGAAAAACCACAGACCAGACCAGGATCATAACCAGATCTGAAGAGACCAGGATCATAACCAGATCTGAAGAGACCAGGATCATAACCAGATCTGAAGAGACCAGGATCATAACCAGATCTGAAGAGTCCAGGATCATAACCAGATCTGAAGAGTCCAGGATCATAACCAGATCTGAAGAGTCCAGGATCATAACCAGATCTGAAGAGACCAGGATCATAACCAGATCTGAAGAGACCGGGATCATAACCAGATCTGAAGAGACCGGGATCATAACCAGATCTGAAGAGACCGGGATCATAACCAGATCTGAAGAGACCGGGATCATAACCAGATCTGAAGAGACCGGGATCATAACCAGATCTGAAGAGACCAGGATCATAACCAGATCTGAAGAGACCAGGATCATAACCAGATCTGAAGAGACCAGGATCATAACCAGATCTGAAGAGACCGGGATCATAACCAGATCTGAAGAGACCGGGATCATAACCAGATCTGAAGAGACCATCAATACCAGATCTGAAGATCATAACCAGATCTGAAGAGACCGGGATCATAACCAGATCTGAAGAGACCGATCATGAAGATCATAACCAGATCTGAAGAGACCAGGATCATAAACCAGATCTGAAGAGTCCGGGATCATAACCAGATCTGAAGAGACCGGGATCATAACCAGATCTGAAGAGTCCGGGATCATAACCAGAGATCATAACCAGATCTGAAGAGACCAGGATCATAACCAGATCTGAAGAGACCAGGATCTCAACCAGATCACGAGGACTACAGGATCTCAACCAGATCTGAGGACTAGTACAGGGACTGAACCTGGACTAATCTTCTGGACTAAACTAAACCTGGTGAAACTGGACTAAACCTTGTCTAAACCTGGACTAAACCTGGTCTAAACCTGGACTAAATCTTGTCTAAACCTGGAATAAACCTGGACTAAACCTGGACTAAATCTTGTCTAAACCTGGACTAAACCTGGTCTAAACCTGGACTAAATCTTGTCTAAACCTGGAATAAACCTGGAATAAACCTGGACTAAACCTGGACTAAATCTTGTCTAAACCTGGACTAAACCTGGTCTAAACCTGGACTAAATCTTGTCTAAACCTGGATAAACCTGGACTAAACCTGACTAAATCTTCTAAACTGGACTAAACCTGGACTAAACTTAAACCTGACTAAACTAAACTTCGACTAAACCTGGACTAAACTTGGACTATTTTTGTCAGTTTTTCTGGTGTAAAATCTGAACTTTGAGCAGAATCTTTTCACTCAAACATAAATTTAAATCTGAATAAAAATATAAAATGTTTTGTACTGGTGACAGAATAATAAACGTGTAAATCTTTCGCGGTCGTTTTTTTTCCTCGTATCGATCTCTTGTCGTTGATGCAGCGGCGGCGTGAGCGGCGGCGACAGCGATGCCTCACGCGGACGGGACCATCCTTCTGCTCCCGGCGTCCCGCCCCAACGCGGTGTCCTGTTACTCGCCGCCGCCAGCGCGTGATGTAATCAGGAGGAACGTGATCCGGCCAGAGACAGATCCACGCCGGACCGTCTCCACCGCCTCCACCGCCTCCACCGCCTCCACCGCCTCGCCCGCCTCGCCTCACCGCCTCCCCGCCACCGCCTCCACCGCCTCCACCGCCTCCACCGCCTCCACCGCCTCCCACCGCCTCCACCGCCGCCTCCACCGCCTCCCCGCCTCCACCGCCTCCACCGCCTCGCCCGCCTCCACCGCCTCGCCCGCCTCCACCGCCTCGCCCGCTCCTCCACCGCCTCCACCGCCTCCACCGCCTCCACCGCCTCGCCTCCACCGCCTCCACCGCCTCCCCACCGCCTCGCCTCCACCGCCTCCACCGCCTCCACCGCCTCCACCGCCTCGCCCGCCTCGCCGCCTCCACCGCCTCCACCGCCTCCACCGCCTCCACCGCCTCCACCGCCGCCTCCACCGCCTTCCACCCGCCTCCACCGCCTCGCCCGCCTCCACCGCCTCCACCGCCTCCACCGCCTCCACCGCCTCGCCCGCCTCCACCGCCCGCCTCCACCACCGCCTCGCCCGCCTCCACCGCCTCCACCGCCTCGCCCGCCTCCACCGCCTCGCCCGCCTCCACCGCCTCCACCGCCTCGCCCGCCTCCACCGCCTCCCCACCGCCTCCACGCACCGCCTCCTCCACCGCCACCTCGCCCGCCTCCACCCGCCTCCACCGCCTCGCACCGCCTCCACCGCCTCGCCCGCCTCCACCGCCTCCACCGCCCTCGCCCGCCTCCACCGCCTCGCCCGCCTCCACCGCCTCGCCCTCCTCGCCCGCCTCCACCGCCGCGGACGCTCAAATG